CACAATCCGTCTTCCCAACCTTCTCAACTACTGTTTTGTTAATATTTTATCCTAATCTCCCCCATTTTCCGCAACAAATTTGATCTTCATATATCTATTTTTTTAACTGAAAAAATGGTGTGCGGTCCGCCCTGCACGTACTATTTTACATTAATTATTAAAATGAGGTGGTCAAAGAGAGGTAATTTTTTTATATTATTTTTTTATATCATTTTTTATATCATTTTTGTATGTAATTAAATGAATATATATTTTATATTATAAATTTTAAATAAATAAAAAAATTAATAATTTAAATAACACATAAAATTATAAAAACAAAATTATGCATAAATTATTTTCCTATTAAAAATTTATCTTTTATTTAATGGTTTTATTTTACCCGAATGGACTTGTACCGCAAAGCATAAATCTCTCTATATATTTTTCCCAGATTTGTCTCATCTTCACTTCTTTTAACTTCAATTCAGTTCACTCCTCTGAATCCATCCACAATGGCTAACGCCGCCAATGGCTCCGGCTTTGCCCCCTGCCTTTTCTTTCTCCAAGTCATCAAGGGGCGGTGGTTCATGATGTTTGCATCCTTCCTAATCATGGCAGGCGCCGGTGCAACATACCTGTTCGGTGTATACTCCAAGGACATCAAATCAACACTGGGTTATGACCAGTCCACTTTGAACCTCCTCAGCTCATGCAAGGACCTTGGAGCCAACGTTGGGATCCTCTCCGGCCTCCTCGCCGAGGTAACTCCCACGTGGTTCGTCCTTTTAGTCGGCGCTGTCCTGAATTTTGCTGGGTATTTCATGGTCTGGCTCGCTGTCTGCAGAAAAATCCCCAAACCAAAAGTATGGCAAATGTGTGCCTACATTTGCATTGGTGCAAATTCCCAGAATTTCGCCAATACAGGGTCCTTAGTCACTTGTGTGAAGAACTTTCCAGAAAGTAGAGGGATGATGATGGGGCTGATGAAGGGGTTTGTGGGGCTCAGTGGGGCTCTGTTTACTCAGCTTTACTTTGCTATATATGGTGATGATTCAAAGTCTTTGATTCTGCTCATTGGATGGCTCCCTGCAGCAATTTCTCTGGTTTTTGTTTATACCATTAGGGAGATGAA